ATGGATGGATGGATGGATGGATGGATGGATGGATGGATGGATGGATGTTTATATTGTTCCACTGTGAATAAAATATGGGTTTATGAAATTAGCAAATCTTTGGTTCTTGTTTTCAATTTACATTTTACACAGCGTTCCAACTTTTTCTCTGGATTCGCGGTTGTTCATTGTGGGAATTGTAACTTGAGTCAGTCTTTGTTGTAGTTTAGCTGGGAGTGATTTGCAGCATCAATAGCCCACCTACACCCCCACCCCCACCCCATCCACACTGCTCAGCACTGGTTCCAGCTTCCTCTTTAAAATAAAACTTTCTTGTTTCCTGAAGTGTGTATTCCTCTAGCTTCTGTGCAGTGTGTGTGTGTGGGTGTGTGTGTGTGTTTTGACCCCCTGAGATGACCCCTCCTCCTCCATGTGTGTAATCCCGGTTTCAGGCTTTGTGAATGCACAGAGGCCGAGGCTGAAATCGTCCTCCAGCTGAAGAACGAGTTGAGGGAGAAGGAGCTCAAGCTGACAGACATTCGTCTGGAGGCGCTTAGCTCCGCCCACCACCTGGACCAGATCCGAGAGGCCATGAACCGCATGCAGGTGAGGTTAGACGGGCCGTCTGAACTCAGGTCGACATCAGTCAAACTGAGGCAGATAATTTTTTTCATTCATCAAGAAAGGACGATGTAAAATCAATAGACAGTGACAAAAAAAAGGTTATGCAAAATTTTATGCTAAATGGGTTTTTATGTTGGTTAATCCCCATCATTTGCATTATTTAGTGATGCTGCATCGATTTGTATTTAAACGTCTAAACCGTGTGGAAAAATGTCATCTAGAATATATGGAATTACCATGAATGTCTCACTTAAGTGGATCCTGATTATCTTGTTTGTAGAAACCCGTAGTTGCCCCTCAGATGTAGGGATCATGTAAAACTCTTTATCTGAGGCTTACTTCAGCACAAAAGGAGGTCTGAAGATCAAAACGCTTCTTAAAGCCCATAAATCCAATGATACTGCTTCAGAATAACAACAAAAAGAGCCACAGCAGCCTGTTATATGTAGAGGCGTTTCTTTATGTGAGGCTAGATTTAAAATATACGTTTCTGCTGCGTTAAACTTTGAACGAGCATTTTTATGCTTTTAGCTTTTGGGAACGTTTTTGCTACTTTTAGATTAAAGTTAATGTTTTGGTATGTCTAGTTTTAGATGGACTACTGCTTCTTTTAGTTTATAGCTAGCCTACTGCTTCTTTTAGCTTTCAGTTTTTAGATATTCTGCCTTTTTAGTTTATAGTTAGCCTGCTTCTTTTAGCTTTTAGATGTTATTTTGCTTCTTTTAGCTTTTAGATGTTGTTTTGCTTCTTTTATTTTGTAGCTAGCCTACTGCTTCTTTTAGCTATTCTGCATTTTTTGTTTTTAGTTAGCATACTGCTTCTTTTAGCTATTCTTATTTTTTAGTTTATAGCTAGCCTACTTCTTCTTTTAGCATTTAGCTAGTGTTCTGTTTATTTTTGTTCATAACTATAGCCTACTGCTTCTTTTAGCATTTAGCTATTCTCCTTTTTTATAGCAAGCCTACTGCTTCTTTTAGCTTTTAGCTATTCTAATTCTTTTAGTTTACAGCTAGCCGCCTACTTTTAGCTTTTAACTAGTGTTCTGCTTCTTTTTGTTTATAACTATAGCCTATTGCTTTTAGCCTTTCTGCTTATTTAGTTTATAGCTAGCCTATTTCTTCTTTTACATTTTAGCTATTCCTCTCCTTTTATTTATAACTAGTATACTGCTTCTTGTAGCTTGTAGCTATTGTTCTGC